GTAGCAAAGGTTACATAAGGAACGAGCAAAGGAACCAGAGTCGGAAGAACTGAAGCAGGAACTTGGAGCCTCCTGCAGCCTGGTCCCTGTTTTGCCGTGATGGGCAGAGCCCCTGCATACATCCCACAGGAGACACATACAGTGAATGAGATATCACCTTGGCCGTGTTAAGCCCTTGAGGTTCTGAGCTTGTTTGTTACTGCAGAGTAACCCAGCCCATCCTAACTAATACAGCTAGAATTCGAGAAATTGCACTCAAAGAAGTCTTCACCTAAGAAGCAAGCCTGAAGTGATGACTAAGACTGAAAAGGAAGGCTGAGGAGCAACCCTCATGAGGGAACCACATTAGAAGGCGCCAGAAAGGGGTGCTAAGTAAATGCCAGGGAAAGACAGCCCAGGTGCGGTGGTGAGCACATGTCAGGAAATTTGGGGGATGTGGGGCTGAGTCATGTAAGACAGGGTACCAGCAGGTCAGTCCCACAGGGGAGGGCCTGACCCAGGTGGAGCTGTCAGGTAATTACCAGGACGTTTGCTCGCAGAAGGCAAAGCTGCCTTTCCACGGTCAGGTGCTTCCTTGTTACTAGGTATCACTTTGGTTATCTAAGAACAATGTGAACATCACATAATGAGAAATCAGAGCCATCAGAATTTTTTTTAATATCATGGTATGACTTTCACAAAGATCACAGTGGACAGAGCAAGTTAGAAATACATATTAAGTTTTAAAAAAATGATTTTTTTCTTTAGTCAATAGCCTTGAAATATGGTCTGAGTATTATCAATATTATCATTGCAATTTCCTTTAGTTCTGAGGTGACTTTCAGCAATGTTAGGACGAAAGTGCTAACGGCAGTATAAACAAAGTAGAGAGAGTCCAGGAATCCCAAATCAGCCTTCTAATGAACGTGAAACCCTGAGCAGGGCGTTTGATCTCTGTGTGCCTCAGTTTCCGTTCCTGCAAAATGGGGATAACGAGACCTAACTCACTCGTTTCCTTCTTTGGATGATTGCACAAAGTGTCTTTTTTTCGTGCTGGTTCTTACCAAATATTAAACATTAATCAAGACTGCAGATTCCAAAAGTAATATTTTGGGTACTATCTTCCCCTCTCCCTTGATTTCGTCTCTCAGCTCTACCACTCACGTGCCCCAGGAGCTGGAGAGATCACCTCCCCTCTGCGAGCCTCTGTATTATCACCAGCAAAAATGTGAGCATTAAGGTCGCTTGAGGTCCTGATATTCTTCAGTATTCTAACTCCATCAGGATGGTCCCTTGTCATTCTCTCATGTGATTCCTCTGAGCCTTGGCATCTGTTATCTTGGCCTATTATCTCCCTTCTGTGCCTGGAAAAATGGGCTCTGGAGCCCAAAGAACACAGATTCCAGCTCCCAGTGTGAGGTTTCCTAGGGCTGGGACCTTGGCAGTGACAAACCCAGTGACTTCAGGCAGCTGACGTTTACTGAAGTTTAACCATGGGGGACTTACCTGGTGGTCCAGTGGTTAGGACTCCGTGCTTCTACTGCAGGGGGCGTGGGTTCGATCCGTGGTCAGGGAACTAAGGTCCCACATGCCGCATGGCGTGGCCAAAAATAAATAAATAAATAAGAATTTTTTTTTACAAAAAGGGGCACCCCGTGCCCCATTCTCTAAAATGCTTCTCTGCCTCAGGATCCTTCCCTCTTTTTTTTTTTTTTTTTTTCCGCTTGTTTGTTTTTGTTTTTGTTGGAAGGTCAACCATCCATCAGGCACAGTTCTAGGCTCTGGACAGATGTTAATCACTCCTCTCAATAGCTCTGGGAGACGAGTCTCAAGGAGAGATGAATCCTTGGTCTTGCATGGCCACAAGGCTCCCATCACCCCATCCTCCCAGGCGGCCTTGTACCTGCCAGTTCCGCTGGACTAGACCACTTCAGGGAAGAACGGCCAGGCCCTCAGATGATATCAGGCACGCGCTGGCTGAGCTCTGGAGGCTCCCCAGGCTTATTTCCTTCAGGGTGTGGGGGGTAGGGCCCCGTAGGACTGAGCATCCCAACGCCCTGAGACTGCCCTATAAGTAGGCCAAGGCATGTGCCGGTGTGGTACAGCCTGTGGGGCGAGTCCAGCCCAGTGAGCCTCCCGGAGGAAGAAGAGATTTCCATGCACTGAGTGAGTAGCTCTCCATCAGCCCTGTCCTGAGCTGACACGGGTGCGTGAGGCCAGGCCACCTTGACAGAGGAGGAAACTGAGGCACAGGCAGGTTTGGCTCCGATTTGCAGGGTCAGGATTTGAAGGCGGGCAGTCGAGCCTTTGCTGTTCTGCCCAGCACAGTCGGTGGGGAGGATGGAATGACCTCATTCAAACCCCCCCATTCTTTTTCAGCTGCTTTTCCCATATAGGTTATTACAGAATACTGAGTAGAGTTCCCTGTGCTATACTGGAGGTCTGGTTGACTATCTATTTTATATATAGTAGTGAGTATATGTTAATCCCAAATATCATTGTACACCTTAAACTTGCATAATGATATAAATCGATTAAATCTCAATAAAGTTGGGGGAGAAGGAAGTAAATGTTATAAAATAGTTAAAGGCGAAAAATGTAGCTACAAACAACCTGAAGAAAATATGGCTGAATATTTAACTGAAAAAAAAAAAAAGGTCTCAGCACACAGCAGGCCCCTATAATAATACAGGCTGGTGGGCGGGGCTGCTTCGGGGTTACCTTTCTCCTTCTCCCACCCTCCCCAGGCTTGGACATAACCCCATGGCCTTGGTGGTCTTCACCTGTGTGTCTCCCCCGCTGTAGAAGGCAGGGACGAGGCCCCCTGGAGGGACCGCACCCCGTGCCCCATTCTCTAAAATGCTTCTCTACCTCAGGATCCTTCCCTCTTTTTTTTTTTTTTCCGCTTGTTTTTTGTTTTTGTTTTGAGGTGATACTATTATTTCCTTTTTCTTTATTGTTTATTTCTTTTTTTTTTTTTATTAAGAAGATTCTCCTTTCTTACCCTGTTCTTTTCACTTCTAGTCAGAGCCAGAGTCTTTGGCCTGGCCTGGTAGTTTCCATGCCCCAGCACTTAACTATCTTGCTGGAGAAAGCTGACCCCCCCATGATGGCCTGTCCCCCACATTTTCAGAGGCCAGCCCGAGGTCTCCCCCTCTGCTCCCCAGTGGACCCCTGGCCTTGACCTCACTGCTGGAACTGCTCCTCTGAAAGGTTGAGGTGTATTCATTAACTCCTCAGATAACCCTGCTAGCTTTTCTGTCACCTCCTCCCCTTTCTTATCTGGGTTCACGGCCCTGTCTTCTATCTGCTGGCCCCTCACTGATCCTAAAAGCTTTAGCTGGAAAAACCCACCGTCCCCTTCCCCCAGAGAGCTCAAGAAAGCCTTTTCGGGGCTGTAGCCGCACGTGAGTGTCTAGCTGGCACAGCCCTGATACTCAGGGGCTGTTGTCATTAAGCCTCTTAAAGGTACTGGTCATCAAGCTACTGGTAGCTGAAGGACCACAGAGGCATCTGAGCTCCCAAGCTGACAGCCAAAGAGAGTTTTCTGTGGTCTCCCGAAGGCCTCACACAGCTCACCACAGCAGAACCCTGGGGTCCCTTGACAAGGTCCCCACCCAAGAAGAATGAACACCCCAAACTGACTGAGTCCATTAAACTCTTTGGCCCCAGTGAGCAAACTCAAATGGGAATCACTTGACCCAAACCCATTCCGAAATGAGAAAAGTCTGGTCAACCAGGAGGCCTCCCAAGTGGGTCTCGTGCTCTGAGCCCTTCCTCCTTCAACATGGGAGCTCCACAGGGGTGCTTTGGCCCTGGGGGACCCTGGGCAATGCCTGGACAAATTTTTATTGTCACACCTGGGGGTGAGGAGGGGGTACTGGGATTTAGTTTTATCCAGGATGCTGCTAAACACCTAACGATGCACAGGACAGCCTCCCCACAGCATAGAATTTTCCAGCCCAGAAATAGTAGTGAGCTTGAGACTCCCGACTCCCTCTGTGCCCAGCCCTTAGAAGCAGCCAAGCTCCCACTTCAGGAGGTAGTTACTGGATGAACAGCCCCCTGAACACAGAACACAGGGTCAGACGCAAAGACACCTGTCTGTCTTGGCTCTGCTTGGCCCGCTGTGTGGCCTCGAGCAAGTTAATGACCCTCTCCGAGCTTCACGTTTCACATCCTGTAAAATGAAGATAACAAAACACTCCACAAGACAAATGTCTGTGAGGGCCGCGAGGTTGAGGGCTCTCATGTGCTCTAATTCAACAGCCTTCTCCAGGCCTAGAACATTATAGAATCAGATGATAATGAACTCCAGGCTCAAGTGGCCTGTAAGGTGAGAGCTGTAGCAGTTTCAAGCAAAAGGAGATGGAGGAAGTGTGTGGAGTGAGGGAGAATCTGGGCCTGAATCGGGCAAGCCCTTCTGTGTTCTGACTGGGTGTCACTGGGCAAGATCCTTCCCACTCTGGACAGCAGCCTCTCTGTCCATGAAAAACCAGGGTTCAGCGGAATCCCTCCTAGGGCTGTTCCAGGTCCAATCATCCCTGAGCCCGATCTGGCCCACTTCCTGGGCGATCATCTACTTCCTGTGCCTCAGTTTCCTCTTTTGCAAAGTAGGGGCTGTGGCACTTATACCTTGGGGTCATTGCAGATGTTAGTGGAACCATCGAGAGCGTGGACCAGACCCAGACTACCTGGGGCTGTGATTCTGGTCCTGCTACCTTACCGCTCTGGAACCTTGGACAAGTGACTTAACCTCTAGGAGCTTGGTCGCCTCATCTGTAAGCCCAGGATAGTCGCCTGACCTGCCTCACAGGACTGTTACCAGAACGCAGTGAGATAAGACAGTAAAGTGCTTAGAATGGAACTTGGTGTATGGTAATCTCCATAAAGCCTTTGCTGTTTTTCTGAGTCTTTCAGTGGTGCTGATGTAGGAAAGTGCTCGGCACATAGATGCTCGATAAGCTGTGTTTGCTTTGACATGGCGTCAATCGGTGGCCGAGGGACTGGTCGTGTGGCCTGACCCGGGTGTGGTACCCTTCTCTCTGTTGCAGGACAATGGCATCCTCCATCACGTGGGGCCTCCTCCTGCTGGCAGGCCTGTGCTGCCTGGTCCCCGTCTCATTGGCTGAGGGTCTCCAGGGACACGCTGTCCAGGAGACAGACGCATCCCAGCAGGATCGTGAGCACCGCCAGGAAGCAGCCTGCCACAAGATCGCCCCCAACCTGGTCGACTTCGCCTTCAGCGTGTACCGCCGAGTGGCCCATGAGTCCAATGCCACCAACATCTTCTTCTCCCCAGTGAGCATCGCTACAGCCTTTGCGATGCTCTCGCTGGGGACCAAGGGTGACACTCACACCGAGATCCTGGAGGGCCTAGATTTCAACCTCACTACAAGAATAGAGGCTGAGATCCACGAAGGTTTCCAGCATCTTCTCCACACCCTCAACCAGCCAGACAACAAGCTGCAGCTGACCACTGGCAATGGCCTGTTCATCAACGAGAGCGCGAAGCTAGTGAGTAAGTTTCTGGAGGATGTCAAGAACCTGTACCACTCTGAAGCCTTCTCCATCAACTTCAGGGATGCTGAAGAGGCCAAGAAAAAGATCAATGATTACGTAAAGAAGGGAAGCCAAGGAAAAATTGTGGATCTGGTAGATGATCTTGACCAAGACACAGTTTTTGCTCTGGTGAATTACATATTCTTTAAAGGTAAGGCTGCACAACCAGCCTGAAACAGAAACACCCCAAAATATTCTCAAACACTCAGTTCTTAACTTTCCTGGCAGTGCAGAATAGGATATAGCCATGCATCTCTGCACGTGTTATTCAATTTTCCACACATGACCGCTAAAACTTCCCGCGATCATATAGGGTTAGGGAACTATGGATTAAACAGTCAAAGTATCATCGTCTCTGCAGGACTTTTCAGAACCTTAAATGTCCTAACGTGCATTGTAGATCCCTATCTGGGAGGGGTGTATGATACGCAATGTCTCCCAAAATAGAGAGCCAGAAAAACAAATTTCGGCAGAGTGTACAGAGGAAATAGGATTTCCTGGAACACGCTTCTGACAACTCGAGTGTAGAGGAAACAGTGACACCTTTGGAGTCAGAAGGACCAAGGTTCAAATCCTTCCTCTACCACTTATGAGCCTCTACAAAATTGAAATTTTGGACCCTACTCCAGTCTTGCATTATCCTCCCAGAATACCTTCTGTACACTGATTGCTCGTTGTAGCCCCATTTTATAGATGGTGAAGCTGAGGCCCCGAGAGAAGTAGCTCACCAGGAGGCTCAGGGCTCCTTTATTCTACCACTGTTATTAAGCCTTCTCCCAGCCCTGGCTGATGTCCGCTGTCCTTTCTCTCCAGGAAAATGGGAGAAGCCCTTTGAGGAAGAGCACACCACAGAGAGGGACTTCCACGTGGACGAGGAGACCACCGTGAAGGTGCCCATGATGAACCGCCTGGGCATGTTTGACCTCCACTACTGCGACAGGCTCACCAGCTGGGTACTGCTGATGGACTACGTGGGGAACGCCACCGCCGTCTTCATCTTGCCCGACCAGGGGAAACTGCAGCATCTGGAGGACCAGCTCAGCAAGGAGCTTCTCGCCAAGGTCCTGGAAAAGAGATACGCAAGGTGACTTCCCAAACCAGAGGCCAGCCCAGGAGCTGCCACAAGAGGTCCAGCCTGAAGGGGGAGGCGGGGGTAGACGCACGTCCCATGGCCGTGACCACTGTGCGTGAACTTGTGCCTCCAGCAGAGGCCAGCATCCGTGCAGGTAGTACCAGCCGGGCTCCATGGGAGGGACGGTGCCCAGGGGTGAGGAGTGAAAGTCCTGTCCCTGAGGACTTCCTCCCCAGCCTGGACACTGCCCCTTCCCAGTGGCCAGTGCCCCATGCAGGGAGAGCAACGCCAACCCATGTTGTGGGCAAACCCAGAAGGAAGAGGTGGGCTTCCCGGCAAAGGTGGCAGTTGAGTGTAGAGCTTCAGGACAGAAAGTCCACGGCAAGACAGGGGGGAAACCTGCTAGGAGAGGCTGGAAAAGCAAAGGCCCAGAGCGGGAAACTCCAGGACACGTTTGACACTGGTTCAGGATCCTCTGTCACTAGATGAGTGTGGTTTGACCAGGTCCCCATCATGCACCCCAAATTAGTGCATGTCTCTGTATTTGTAAATATGCCTTTGCCCGGATGAGCTATTTTATTGCATACAATATAAAACAAAAATGAAAATACAGAGAGGTATTAGGTTAAAAAGCAAATAGAAGTTTGAATACCTCTTCCCCGCTCCACCCACACCCAGGTTCCCTGCACCAGAGGCTGAGAGCAGAGAACAGGAGGACCTGGTCTAGAACAGGTCAAACAGAGCCTGAGGTTCAGTCAGACCCTCTCGGGGCCACACCTTGTCCCCATCGAAAACTAGAGCTGAGCTCCGGTCCTGTGCAGTCACTCATTCATGGAAAAGATGTCACTCAGGACCTGCCACCACGCCCCACGGTCCTCTGGGATCCCGGCCCCGGAGGAGTCCCAGTCTGAAGGGTGACCAAACCCTGCAGGGAAGCAGTGTGCACAGTCCTTCCAGAGGACACGCTGGATCCTCCAGGAGGCCTTATCAGAGGAGGTGGCATTTGAGAGGCTTTGCAGGACAAGAGGACCCCTGGGATTCTAGCATTCTCTGACCCCACGTGTAGAGGAACTACAGTAGAATAAACCAAGGCTGACCTCACATCCTTGCATGGGCAGGGGGACAGGGCGCCAAGTGGGAGGAGCGACCAGGAAAGGAAACACTTTCAATTCTGTGAAACTTTTTTATTTTCTAACCATCGTGACAGTTCTGCCAATTTATACTTGCCCAAACTGTCCATTTCTGGAACCTACGATCTGAAAACTCTCCTGGGTAAACTGGGCATCACCAAGGTCTTCAGCAACGGGGCTGACCTCTCAGGGATCACCGAGGAAGTGCCTCTGAAGCTGTCCAAGGTGAGCGTGTCCTTGACCTCTGTAGGTCAGAATGTGCACGGGGGCTGCAGCTCAAGGGTGAGGCTGAGGAAGGGACAGAGGGACACAGGCACACCTGCAGACTGAGGTCCCTGAGGAATGCCATCGCTCCACCAAGACTGCAATGTGGTCGGATGATGGAGGGGGACAGGTGGCCTCACATGCTTGGTGCATTTTATTTAAGGACCTCCTCTGAGGTTGTGTCACTCACCCTGTCTCATCCTTGGCCGGGGACTTCCCTTCTTTGGGTCCCGATAAACCCCTATTTACAGAGAGAGGCTTAGGCTCAGGGATTGCAAAGGACCTTTGGCCCTGCGCCTGTGACACCAGGAGCTACCGCTGAATCACTGAGTGTGAGTTACAGAGTGATTTCGACCAAAGATGCCATTTACGCAGGAGAATTACAGGTGCCCAGAGAAACAACTGCAGTTCAGTGACTGACTGTGCGCTGAGTGCCTGGGTGGGGATGAGGCGTGTGAAGGTCCCCATCGAAGCCCTGGTCCCCAAGGAGTTTAGAATCTGGTCTACAAACAAGTGCGGAGCCAAGGAGACAAAGTACAAGAAAATCCGCCTCCCGAGGTGGTGGGTTCCTTCCCAGGGCCGTTGAGGAGGCTGGTCAGGAAGGGGTGAGGGTCCCCTCGTGGGTCAGACACAAGCCTTGAGAGCCATGCTTGTGTGTCTCCTGCAGGGAGGGGAGGACAGGCCAGGCGATGAGAGAGGC